AGTTTGTATAGCAGATAGACTGTTAAAATAAATATAAATTTAGTAGTTGGTAGGTAAGGTAAGAAACAAGAAAATAAGTGCTGCTAGTTCTGCTCATATAAAGTTTGATACATAGATTATAAAAGCATTAAATTTAGGGGCTTGTTATTCATACCCCCTATTTTTGTTATTTATACCTCCCATGTAATAATATATGTTTGTTTACATGATCGCCATTTGATATACGGATTGTGATTGGACAATAATGTCCATAAGTCATGTGATAATTTGATAGTCGAATATCACATGCACCGATATATAAATCTGCGAGACTTTACATGAACTTCTACAACATAATAGAAACTATGTATAATGAGTGACGATTGCCATTGCCATTAATGCATGTTTGATTATTGCATTTTCATTTTAATTTAGTAATATATAAGTACAACAAAATATTTATTAATTTGTGCAAAATAAGTTATTCAAATTACATAGTAAATAGCTTTTATTGTTTATTAGACAAAGTATTATAGCAGTCATATTTTGTAGAGTAAAAACTTCGGCCATTATAATGATATAGTATTTAAACTATAATAGGCTTAGCTATTCATAGGCTACACGTAAAATAAAATTATTGAGAAACAGACTTGTCGCTATACGCGTTCAATACAAATCTGATAGTTTAACTTTACAATAATTTTTTGTTGATCGTTTCAAATATTTAGAACCTTTTATGCATAGCTATATAACTACTATAATATATAGCAAATATTTGTTGCCCCGATTATTTTCAAACTGCATAAATAAGTAGCAAATCATAAATAAATCCTTTCATGACATTCTATCCGCTCGATACATTGTGTTAATAATGACTAAACTAGGCAATTAATAAATACCATATCGGAAACTCATATCGGTGTATATATTTAAATATTTATTATACTATTTGGCTTCATTTATAAGAAAATAAATATGTACATATACATAAACAGTTAACCAATAGAAAGTAATTCACTATGTCGCATATGCATTTTATTTATATATCGGCTAACTACCTATATACATCTACTACCTTAACAAATGTGTTTGTTCACAGTGAAACCATACTTAGAGTATATAAAATATATATACTCTAAGTATGGTTTTATTGTGAAAAAGCCCAAATAAAGTCTTCAAAAGCATAATTAGCATTAAAAAAGGTGCAACAGATTTGTAAAGTAGAATATATGAGGGAATGAAACAAAAGTAACCCGATATATACAGTAGAATAGATAAGGAGAAATAAAAAAAGTAAACCAGTATATAGAATTAGTGACACAGGCATGACCTAAATAGTGTGATTCGAGGTGACCCAATTAAATGCATGCATGCATATAGTGTATCTTCTTCCAAATTGAACCAAATCAGGCATGAATCAAAATCGTGACAATAAGGTTTCAGAGAGGTGAAATAGAGAATAATCTGGCAAGAAATTAGTAGAAAAAACTGAAATGAAACTGTTAATAAAGTATTAAAGAATGTGATAATATAAAAATTTCTCTAGTATTTAAAGGCGACAAGTTGTAAGATATATTGGATGCCCTTTTAAATTAAATAAATAAAATTTAATATCAGAAATTAAACAAACAAGTAAAATATACTTTCCTTACTAACAATTCTACTCAAAGTTCTGTCTATAAATTCAACCAAATCATAAACTGTATTATCTGCTTTCGTAAGGTTTTTTTTTATAACATGTTTCCTGAATTCGAGAGTGCTGATGAACTTTATCAATATGCTCAAACTTTTGCGAATGCACATAGTTTTGCACTTGTTAAAAAACGAACTTGTAAAAATCATCGTGGTGAATTGAAAAATATGAAATTGCGTTATGACCGAGGTGGTGTTTATATTAATACATTAAATCTTACATAAGAAACACGCTGAAGACTAACTAGTATCAGGCTAATTGATTGCTCTTATGAAATGTTTGGTTCTCGACGGAATGACTCATGGCATCTAGAAATTCGTAATGAAAATCATAATCATGATTACTCAGAAAACATGTTAGAACACCTAATTGCCTGCCAACTCACAGAGCAACAGCTAGAAAGTGTTGCAGCAATAACTGTTGCTGGATCACGTCCTCGAGAAATTGTGTCGACCATTCGCCAGAATGACCCAGCAACCCCAATTATTAGCAGAGACATCTATAATATACATGAACAACTTCGTCAACAAAATCTGGCAGGCCGAACCCCTATCCAAGTGCTTATTGATAAACTTCGAGAAGAAGATTATATTTATGAATATGAATATAACAATACTGGTTGTGTTACCCATTTTTTTTTCGCATATAAAGAATTTATCAATTTTACTCGTCAATATTCCTTCATCCTCCTCATGGACTGTACCTATAAAACTAACAAATATAAGATGCCCTTACTGAATGTCGTCAGCTTGACTAGCTTCAATACTATATTTTATTTGTGTTTAGTTTTTATGAAAGGTGAGGATGAGAAAGACTACAAGTGGGCACTAACTTGTATTGTTCGTTTGTTCGAAGGGATATCGAAGCCTGGTGTAATTGTGACTGATAGAGAATTGTCACTTATGAATGCCCTTAAAATAGTCTTTCCGAATTTAACAAACCTATTGTGCTTATGGCACATTAGTAAAAATGTATTAAAAAATTGTAAACCACAATTTCCAAAAGAAAATGAAAATAGTTCAAGCAGTGAATGGGATACCTTTTTTGCAAAGTGGAGCGAAGTAGTTAATTCCAAAAACGAAAACAAATTCAATGAAATATGGCAAAACTTTCATTCTACTTACATTAATAAACCCTGCATTATAAACTACCTCGAAAGAACTTGGTTGCCATGGAAGGAAAAATTTATAAAAGCATGGACAAATTCATTTCTTCATCTAGGAACAACTGTAACTTATAATGCTTCAAATTAAAAATTTTAATAATATAGTTAGTCAAGTCAGCAACTAATCGATTAATCAACTAATCGATCAGTTAACTAATCAATTAGTTGTTTTATGTGGTAGTAGAATTGATTATTAATTAGTCAGCTACACGACATAGCATTTAGGTTGCAGCATGGCATATTCTAAAAACTTTAATTATCATGTTTTGCAAAAAAGATATGATTATCATTACATAAATTATAGAGCTGCATCTTTTTGCAAAGTGCTATAATTAAAGATTTAGCTAGAATTTCAAAAACATATCTAAGCTAATTTGATATATCAACTAATCAATTAGTCAATTGATCGATTAATGGGTTGATTGATTAATCAATTAACCCATTAATCGATTAATTGACTAATCGACTAGTTAATTATAATTGAATTTTAAAATTCTTGACCATTACATTTTTTTGTTCTAATTTGTAACATTAGGTAACTTCCCACATAGAAGGTGCACATGCAAATCTTAAAGCATATTTACAGACATCAGCAGGAGATCTTCATCGGGTTCATACAAAAATTTCGTTGATGGTGACTAACCAAAAAGAAGAAATCAATTTTATGACTGTATCGGAATGCATTCGTTTTCCTATTTTTGCACACAACAACCAATTTTATGCAAATGTTAGAGGTAAAGTTTCAACCTTTGCTCTTAAAAAGATAAATAGAGAGTATCAAAAAGCATCTTGTGTGACTGTGCAGAATCCCTTACCACCATGTACAGGTTCTTTTTCGAGAACAATAGGACTACCTTGCGCACATCGTATTCAACACTTAGAAAGCAGTCAGGGTTTAACACTTGAAGATATCCATATACATTGGTGGATTCAAGGACGCCTACCAATACCACAATTTGAAGAACATGTTAATACATTGCAACCACTTTTACAAAATCTAGAACAACGATATAATGAATGGCCAGAACATCAGCAAGCAGCAACACGAGAGATGCTAAATGATATGATCAATTCCTTATTGATTGTCTTGCAAAACCCCAACATCGTACGTACTAAAGGATGTCCTTTAGGTGCTACTAATAACCAACCATCTACCTCAACTAGAAGAGATCCTTCTGGATTCGAGTCTGTGGAACAGAATGTAAGACAATGTTCTCTTTGCCAACAGCCTGCACATAATGCTCGTACTTGCCCAAATAGAAGTAATACAAATTAAATAGGTTAGTCTATTTCTTATTTAACATGCTATTCCTAATTAACATAACACCCTATCCTTATTTTGGTAATTTCAATTCCAGTACCTTTTCTAGAACAATATCCACTTCTGTTACAGCATTCTATTTATTATTAGAATCATGTATACATACATATGTACATAGTTAAATATCAAATATATAGTTGGCAATAGCGTTCTGTGACATATGAGCCAAGGGTTTTTTTTTAAAAAAACTATATAATACCTGAAGCTTTTACACGACTGCTACCTTGGCTATTCACTACCTTGAATAACTTATTTTATGCAGATTAATAAATATTTGTTATACTTATATACAACTAAATT